ATATATTTTATGTTTTATGTTGTACATAGCTATAGATTCCGTGTTCTGTATATATATATATATATATATATATATATATATATATATATATATATATATATATATATATATATATATATACACACTGTATATAATTTGTCTGCACCATCAACACCAAGTTAAATTCCTTGTAAGTGCAAACCAACTTGGCAATAAACTTGATTCTGAGCATGGCTGGTAAACTCAGAATTAGTAAATATCCATTTTAAAGTGCAAATATTTTGCTTGTAAAAGTAAGGCTTTTCTTTTTGATTTCATAAGCTTTTACTTTTTTATATACATCTTTCCAAACTTATCTCTGTTTTTTTGTTTAATGTGAATTTAGCTTTTTCCTAGTTAACTTTGCAGCTTTAAGCCGAAGTGATTTATTGCTTCCTGTATGCATGTTAAGGCTTCAGGTTACATATCTGGATGCAACAGCATACCGCACAGAGCAGCATGTTTCTCTGTTTTTCCCATGCTAAAGTAATCCTCTTGGCTTAGAAGTTCCTTATGAGACATTCATGGCCTGAAGGCTTTCTTCCTTGGCCCAAAGTAGTAAGAGCAAGGATGCTTTATCTTGAAAATAAAGGCTTTGTATAATCTCCTCAAGTCTCATATTTCAATCAACTGATTACACAAAGTTCCAGGATGTTACTAACCCGTTTCTGAAAACCTTCTCTATGCTATAGGAAAGCATCCGGAAATCAACCGCTGACTGGCATTTTCACTCATGATTTTCAAGACTCCCTAAATGGCTAGGCAGAAACTTAATAACAGCTATTAGTGAAGATAGGGTAAATGAGGAAAATTGAAAATTAAAGTTAGGAGTAGAGACTGGTTGTTTACCCTTTTGGCACTTTATACTTTTTGCAGTTTTGGCTAAATAATAATTTGCAAGTCTTTTTTTTAATTTTTTTCCTAAAAGTTACAGAAGGATAATAATGCAACTTATTACAAACTAATTTAAATAAGTACATTAAATGCAACCAATCAAAATTGCGAAAAAAATAAATAAAGAAGTGGATCTTTAATAATCCTTTTTAAACAGTCCTTGTCGTTTTCCGCAAGTTGTCAGATTCAAATTTCAAATCCATTTTATAAAGCTTCACAAGCTGCTTAAAGATATGTTTGTGTTGAAAACAATACACTATACAATATAATAGACTTGTTTTTGCAAAATGGGCTGTGATCATTTAAAAGGTAACAGTGTAGGTACCAGATCTGCTCGGGTGGTCAGATCTGCTCGGGGCCCTTCCCTTTCTTATGGTGTCATCATACGGAACGCCACTTGGTCAAACTCTGTAGCTCACATTTGTTAAGAATCAGATCTCTTCAGGAGTTTCAACATATTTTTACTAATATTTGCTATCATTTTACATTTCATCTGTGATCTAAAGTAGCAGAAAGTAGAAAACACTCATTCTCAGTCTTGAAGGAAAGCACTGCCTTCTAAGACAGACTGACCTCTAATATTTAACAAGGGGACACAAAAAGTCTCAGTGCTTGTTCTTATTTTCATTAAGATCTGAGGGCAGAGGAGGACAAATGTAATATCTTAAAAATTACTTTCATAGAGATTTTAGACAAATTTAAAAGTAGTGCAGCTTAATATGACTAACTACCTAAAACAGGCTAATCTGTTAGGTACTAAGCACAACTAGCCACAGCGCTACCCACCCTTTTATATCATGGTTTTGCAGTTACTTTGTTCACTATAAACAGATCTTTTCAGTTTTGTCATCAATCAGATAAAACTTCATTGGTCATTAGACACGCTAACACTGCAGATGCTCCTGACTCGGCAAACGGACGCTGTATTAAGTTATTATCGTTGTCTGGGCAACCACGTTTTCTGTCATGTTACAACGTTCAGCCAATCAGATCGGACTACCCCAGCAGATCTGGTAACACAGCGGCAGTGAATACCTTAGCAGTTAGGCTGAAGAACCCCTTGGGTTCGACCATCTTCTCCAGAACGTGGCATTTGATTCCAGCTGTACTGTCATACTCATACACCACTCCATACTCCAGGTGGACATTGTCTACTGTGAGGCTCACATGGTCCTTCTTCCCATCGATGATGGCTATCGTGTTGAATTTGTCAATTACTTCTAGGAAAACAAGAAAAAAAAATAAACAAACACAGGATTCAGTTTGGTTTTTTTTATCACCCAAACATAACAGTACAAAAATCATAAATTCTGGGATGAACTTTGATTTCATCATCACATTCAGCTAAAATAGGAGGTTAGACCACCAAGTCAGCACATAATTTGAAGAAAAGGCATTTCTCATGGTTTCCTCCATCTATCCCCAAAGAGAAGAAAAAAATGATGAGCAGTTCCACTAAATTAAACAGCCCTATGCTAATGCAATGACTTAATATGGCAATAAATTGTGCTCTGCAGCAATTTGCTGCGAGGGGAATAGCTTTCCTTGTTTTACTCTCTCTTTGGGATCTATAAATTGTTGAGGGAAATTAACACTTGATGAGCCAGAGGAAGCAGAGTTCTCATACTAACACAATCCAGATGAGCCTGTTTCAAAGCTGCCTCTCACTCTGTCAGTATGAGCAAGCATTGGTGTGTTACTGTGAATAGGCATGTGTTACATCCACAAACACCACGGATCACAATGTTTCCTCCTAAGTGGGTGATTTCAACGCGCTTTGAGAATGTTTGTGTGTGGTCACCTTCCACTTTGCCCTCAAAGCCGTCCCCGTTCTCCTCCAGGGTGGGTTTCATGTTACTTTTCTGGTTTTCCTCCAAAGCGCTCTCGCTGTTGTTGTAAATCCACTTAATGGTGTCTTGCTGCAGAAACAATAAATATGTTCATTAAAGAAATTATAAAAACAGGGTCAGATGGAGGCTTTACTAGATTATTTTCATTTATGCATTAAAGCATTTAACCCCAACCCTTATACGCTTAAAAAAAAGTCAAACTGAAACAATGTTGGTTGATGTATTTACAGACCAAAAGCAGCAATAGTTTTACACATTTAGTTTAAATCTGTTAACTAAAAAAGGAAAAAAAGGAAAGTCATACTGATAAATATATTTATATAATGAAATGTATTTATATTAATTCACATGTTGTCTAAAGGAGCTTTGCAACAGCAATTATATATACACCAATAATTCACCTGAGTAGCATTTTCAGCTTGATCAGGTCCTAATAGGTAAGAAATTGTTATGTTTAATAGAGACAAAAGTCACAAGAAACTAATAAAAAAAAAGACTAAATAGTTTGATTCCCATTACAGTAAAGCAGATATGACATGCAAAATGTAGATTTCGAAGTAATTCAAAAGGTATTGTTTCAAATGCCACTCCAGTTTGAAGAGATGCATCAGAAATCCAATTTTTGTTTTTTCTCCATTTAAAAAAATGCAGAAAGAAATCTTTTTTTTATTTTTTATTTTTTTTATTTTATCTAAACAAGGCATGACAAGACAAGACAGACTATATTGATCTCTCAGTGGAGAAATTCACATGTCACATCGGCTCAAAAGTCAAAAAGAAGGTGCCAAAAGGAGGAAAAGGTGCATTGGGTAGTCAGCATACAGTATCTACAGTGTGGTCACATATGTATATACAGTATGACAGCTGAAGTTTCTTATTGAACAGGTTATTGCACAGGGTATTAAATGGGTATTAATATAAATTGTGTTTTAGTTATTGGACAGGGTATCAAATAGTAATTGCACTTTAGTCATTGCACAAGTTATTGCAGTTATAGTGTAAAGTCTGATGGCAGCAGGGATGAATGAGCTGCGGTGGCACTCCTTTTTACATAAAGAGTGTATAAGTCTTTCACTAAAGGAGCTTCCCAGCCCCTCTACAGTCTGGTGCAGGGGGTGAGAGGTGTTGTCCATGAGTGACCAGATCCCACCTCTGAATGGGAACCAGAACTGCCAGCACACCAAGAATTGTCATGTTTTCACAATCATCTGTATTAGTATGAACTAGTATTAGTTAGGTGTATAAAGTGAAGCCAAAGAAAGCAGGGAGGTATAAGGTGTGATTTAAACTGTATTTTCTATGGCGTCTCTACTCTTTGTTAGGCTATGGGTGAGAGCAATACTCTTAGGGGATAACAAGAAGGTTAAATGAGTATTACAGAAATGCTGACTTTTTTTAGCTTTTCAGATTTCGCATCTGTCACTATCGCACGAAAATATTCTGAAAATATTCGCATTTTTTAAAGGTCACAGAGTTAAGGCAAGGCAGAATAACAAGATTTTTTATGTAACTCCAGCTAACAGGATAATCACCATGCCCAATACAAGTTTTTCACTCTCGATACGATACAGATACAGCAGCTTTGAGAATTGACTCATACCGATATTGACCTGATATGTCTTTATCACTGTCAAAAATGCTTTAATTACTTATTTTTTACTGTAGGTCATTAGGAAAGACCTGATCAAGTGATATTAATAAAACAGAGATTAACGTTAAACAAGTATAGATATTAGAACAACTGACTCTGGTATCATTAACCAATGAGTTTCTATAGCTGAGCGGTAGGCTAGTCCACTGAAATGAGACATTCTCCAAAAAAAAATTGTATTTGTCCACGTGTAGTGACAACAGAAAAGTAACAACATCATGTTAACGAATATTATCTAATTTTTCCAGAAAAAATCTATTTCTTAAAATGTATGCTATGTGTGCACAGGCTGAGGCTGCAGCATGTAGTGTTGATTATGCACAGCTTTGTTGTTTACTGTCACAGTTGGGCTGGCAGAGCAAACAAAAGAAAGGCTTCAAAAACATATGAAAATGCAGCAATCGACGAGGATGCAGTAACAAAGCCGTGCCGGTCTAATCAAGCCACTCTAGCGTGCCTCACAGGCGTGTGTCTCTGTCTGCTTAGGGTTTCCACACCCGAACCAGCACTGTGGTTTTTGCCAAGTCTGCACGCTGTGTCAGCTCTCTGGTCTCCATGCTTATAACCACCACATCCCATTTCACACAGAGAAACAGGGAGAGGACAAGAAAGAGAAGGCAGTTCCTTTGCATCCACTCAAGGTATAAACCAGATCTCCTGCTGCAGTGCATCATTAAGCTCCGAATCCCAGCAGAGCTCAGTTGTGATGAAACATAATTCTAAGTGATGCAATACGCACACACCCTTGTAGTTACTATTTTCCCAATTTCCCACTTCCAACAGGTGGCCTCTCCTCCAGCACTGGTCTTGTTTCAACCACCATCTGAGAATGAATAAAAAACCAATTTTGATCTGCAACACTCCCCCTGTCATCTCCAGAACTTTCACCTCCTCCCTCTGCACCGCAGGAGAAAAAAACACTATTATTTCTGTTTAATGACCCTTAAGAAATAGAAAAGAGTTACAAAAAGGAAAACAGGAGCTCAGAGTCTGTCTGCTGCGTTTATAACCACTGCTTGTTTCCATTTTCTTTGGTTCTCTGTCTCCTATGCAGCCTTTATCCATTACATAACAGACAGATCAATTGGCTTATAGTTAGAAATGTCACCAGCAGCAAGGTAGGAAGCTGTAAGTAAAGCAAGAGCTTAAAAATCCACCCCATCTATGCAGCGATACAGAGAAATGCACACTTATTTACATAAAAACCTGAGGAGGAATTACTGAAATTTCACTGAAAATGTGAGAAGTTGGTCACCCTACCTTTAATTCTTGAATTTAAGGATAAAACTGATTCAGGAAAAATAGTTTTCCCTTTTTGAGAGTTAAATATTTGTGTTTTAGGAAGCATTCTGATGACCCTGCAAAATGTTTATGACAGCATGAATTTAAAAGGTTCTAAGTATCTTTGAAAGAGAAGCAGACATAGCAAGGAAACCTGGATTTCGGATCATTTGAATCATGAAATAACTTACGTATGAATTACGAAACATGTTTCAGTTGTAGCTCTTTTATAGGATTTATTAGCCATACCAAGAATTGTGGCAAACAAGACTAATTTTCATCTTTTTTAAGGCTTTTTAACACATCCTCACTGCTGGATTGTGTCTTTCTTTCTAGACTTTTGTTTACTTAATTCCATTTTGTTTCTCTGTCACATATTATAAATGACGGCCATTAAAATAGAGTCAAACTATGGCAAAAGGGGAGGCTTTGATGAATGTAAGTGTCCAGCTGGATTTAGTCTGCACTCTATCCCCTTTTGCCTTTACTGTCTTCTCCTCCTGCCTCACCTGTGATGGCCGACGGTACTTTCTGCACGCGGTGACATGAGCGATGACACTGGCGTGGCTCTCCTTGCTCACATTGATGCCGTTTACCTTGATGATGCACTGGCCAGGGTGCAGGCCGGCGGTGGCAGCCACCGTTCCTGTCGGCGAAAAGAGAAAGGAACGAGGCAAAAGGTCAAGAACATCGTCTACATCCTGAACACCGAACGGTAGCAGTCAACATTCCTTGGCTTTGTTTTTACATCTTTATTTCCTGTTTTAGACATTGCAGGAGGAGTGTGGAGGAGAGTTCAGTGTCCAGAGGAGGGAAGTCATTCATCTAAAATAGATGTGGGTCACTTTAATGGATGTGATTCAGATCACAGGAAAACTTCAAGGTTAAAAGCAGTCAGAGAGAAGCTAAATATTACACCCAATGTTTTCTTTGTCTTTTAAAAGCACAACCTGAATTACCTTTAGAAAGTTAAGCAAAGAGGCTGGAGACTTAAATTACAGGGTTGACATCTCTACCAAAACTACTAAATATCTGTATAATTCAGATACAATATAATAATGTCAACACAACTTATTTTCAACTCAAAAGATGCATAAAGGGAGGTAATTGAAGGGAATCTGGATTTTCTATACATGTCATGCTAAAAGTAAGCCAGAGCCTGAATCTTATCTCTGAGAGCTTTCAACTTCTGTCTGCAGTAGAATGTCTATTATTTCATTAAGATTTTCCTGCATGAGAAAAACGATCTAGAAATAAGTCAACATTTCTTATTTAAGCTTAATTTAAGTAGGTTACTAAGATGATCTGCCAATAGAATTTGTTTTTTTTTTTTTTATCTTATAAAACAGAATTCGATAATATGCACTTGAACTAAGACAATGCAATTGTTTTTTTCTCGTTATAAATGTAAATTGTCTTGTTTCATTGGTAAAGTGTCTCACTTACCTTCTCAATTCAAGAAAAAAAAATGCACTTAATTTAAGAAAAAATGACAAGATTCTCATGAATCTTGATGAAAAAATGAAGGTTGCTGTTTCTGCAGGGTTTAGTAACATGTCTCTCTACCACACAGTCACATCTGGTTCTACTTTAAACAAGTAATAATACTCAGCTAGCAAGTCTTAAAAAAAATAGGATTTGGGTTTTGTATTTTAGTTCTCACTTTTTAAAGAGAAATATAAAATCAGTCTCAGCAGCTAATAGCACTACAAAACCAAAATTAAGAGAGGACAATATTAGTACCAGTTCTTTCTGGGATTTTTTTGGTTGTTATCATTAGAATTTTGATCTGTTGTGTTAATAAATTCCATAAGAATGAGTCTCTAATCTTCAAAGCTAAAGGTATTGCTGCTTTTACCCTGTTTCTGTTCTGTTTGTTTCACAAAAGCATTAATAATTATCAATACTTACATATATTATTAAATAAAATACTACATTATGGTATCAATACCTAGAATTTTAATAATACCGACATAAATACGTAAATCTAGTAGGACATTAAATTAAAAACAAAATACTATTAAATTAAATGTGTTTCAGCTTTTTAGTAAAGAAATTTTACACTAAATGCAGGTAGTGTCCTAAAGAAACCTATTCTATTCTACACTCAATCTATGGCCAGAAGAGACTACAATTAGCTATTTATTTGGGGTTAATTGTCCAGATACAACTTTTTCATTTCCGATATAATACCAATATTGCAGCTTTGATTATTGACCGATAACAATATTGACCCGATATTATCAATCATACATACTTTTATTGTTTATTTTATAGAGCGTAATGATTAGAGTATGTCTGATTCTGATTCTGAAAAGGCTTTAATCAAGCGATATTTCTTAAAAAGAAAACAATACTTAATAGCATCAGGTAATAGAACAACTGACCCATTTTTTTATTTACCAAAAAGTTACATAAACTTTAAACCAAAGTGGATTGTAGCAAAGCATTCTTAATATCTGAGATTTTACAGGTAGGCAGTTATTTTAGATATTAGACCCATTTCCGATATCACTATTGGAGCAGAACTTTCCTGCTCTTTACAGCTTTTAACTTTACTTTTATTTTTATCACAATCAATGCTGTATCATTTAGTCAGATTTTGTTAATCTGACCAATCTCTGATTGTTGCTTCTCTCGAATTAATTAATTAATAAATAAACAATGTTTATGGGCTGACGCCCTTTGCTCGGTGTAACCGCTTCTTATCCAATAACCCCTGGAGATAGAAATTAGTCCCTCTCCAACCTTACAAGGATAAGTAGTGGCTTGGAGTAGGGTTCCTTAATTACAGTCGTGGAGCTCCGGTGTCCTATACCCTTTAGATGTATCTCTGCTTCCAGACATGAATAAAATGGCTGAATTACCTCAGTATGAAGTCAAGTTCTGCAAAGTGCTGCTAATGTCCTGATTATTTAACTCAGGCATGTTGAGCTAAAAACAGATCTAAACGACTCAGAACACCATTGTTCAGCGACTGGAATTGAGGAACCCTGCTATAGACAATGGATGTTCACATTGTTCTAAATATTTTTTTTGCTCCTCTTGAGGTACTTCTTCACTGATCATGCACGTTTTACTGTTTCATAAGGTTTTTTTTTTTTTACATGTCTACAAAACATTGCGCCAGTGGACCACAATTTTTGCAAACAACAAAACATGTGATGCAAAATCTCATTTCATGTATTGTGCATCTGAAATTAAAATACAGTAATTGGTTAAAAGTATAATTTGCATAGGGTAATTGCAGATATCAATAGCTCAGTTGTTCCCGATGTGCTACAGATTCTTGTTAGCTAAGGTGAACACGTTCCCCAGTGCCCCTTCTTTTTAAAAGCCATAGGAAGTGAATCTCATGGAGGATACAACACAATAATCAATAATTCTCTGCACATCCAGCATCAGACAGGCACCCTAATTGGTATTACCTACTCCTGCTGACCCCAAACACCCAGGGACAGAGTCTGCAGTGAAAAGCTGAGGGATTAGACACCCACCACACCTTGAGCTCAGTGCTTTTACTAAACACACAGCAGGTTCCCAGGAAATAACAGCATCAAGTCAACAATCAAAATCCACATGCAAGCACACGGGTGGCACTTTTCAACTCTCCTGTCCAATTTAGATTGCTTTAGAAAAAAAAAAAGATTCAATTCCCCTGAGGAGAGCCAGACAAGGTTATGGATTGTTTTCTGATTGGACCCCATTTTGTTCCATGCCTGATAGCGGCGCTTCTATACAGGCTCTATTAAGGAAGAACACAGAGGGAACAGGACTCTGATGAATGCAGGGCCTTTGTAAACCCTGCAAAGAAGGGGATCTTGTGAGAAAAAAAAATAAAACTGTGAATAGGTGGGAGGAAATCATTGTGACTTTTCTTACAGCAGCCAAGTCATGCATTTCCCTAAAGACTGAGGCAGCAGCTGCCTGCCAGCTGTGACACTGGCAACAAATGCAACTCTTTTGCTGATGCAGCCAGACATATATCTTCTACCTCTTCCAACAGCATGGACCACAGAGGGGCCAAATCCCCGGATCTGGAAGCCCAGACCATCTGCAGAGTCTGGGATCTTTACAGTCCTACAGAGAGAAAAAAAAAACAAAGAAAAAAACTGAGATGTGCACACAGAGACAATTTTCACAGTTCAGTGTAGACTTGGATCTGCCTTACTCTCTTGGCTTAGTGCTGACCAGCACTCGGATTGGCCCCTTGCTGTTGAAACACCGCCTGAGGAGAACTTCCACTTCAGAGTAAGGCCTCAGGAACACTAGGTCTCCATTGATGGCAAACAACTTCTTCCCCACTTCCAGGCCAGCCATCTTAAAAATACAACACAAAAGGAAACAATACATAAAACTTAAAAAGTTTCAGAGTTATGTCAGATATAATTATAGAGACTCTCTTCATGAGAATTAAGAATGCCTTCCACTCTACTGTTATTCACTATGAAGCCCAATCTTCTAATAAATGTAATTTACTTAGGACTAAGGATTTAGAGATAAGCACACAGTTCTATGTATTAGCAAAACCTACGGATGTCAGCACACATTTGGAGCATTTACAGTAGATGATACAGGGGCCTTAGAGGACAAAAGGTAGAACTAAGCAAATATTCCTCCAATATCTGTTCAGCTTTAAACACAAACAGACCCCGATTCAAAGTATGCCCTAAATGTTTACAAGGCGAGGATGTGTGGAGCATCCTTTTGTCTCAAACGTCTCACCTCAGCTGCGGAGCCCTTCTCCACACATTTGATGATGGGGACTCTGTTTCTTTCTTCCAGGGTAAAACCATACCTTCCATCACTTGGCCTTATCTGGGAAAAAAAGCAACATGCTGAGTATCAGCAAAACTCCAAGCCAGCAGAGCAAAACACTCCCAAAGCACAAACAACAGAAGGAGAGGATAGTGCTCCAGACAGATAACAGATTTTGTTGTATTTTGCTGATTTTGCTTCTGGAAATAATGCTGGTCTTGCTTACTAAGAATAAAAAGTTTTTATTTTCTCTACTCACAGCTGTGCCCTTCCTAATAATTTACTAAGCTTAAGCGTAGATCAAAGGTTACAAAGTCTTAGCATATGACATGACAAGAAGCTGATGAAGTTGATGAAACAAGAGGAACTCACCAGGAGAGATTTTGCAATAACATTTTCAACTATTTTCAGATCGTGCTTCATGGGTTTGTGTTTGGTGTTGGATCCCTCCATCTCCTCATCAGCAAAAAAGCGGAACAGCAGAGGTTCATCCTTAAACTCACTCTTCTCCAACACTAATAAAATGGAACAGTGCTATAAATTAATATCAACAATTCAATGCCCACAGAACATTTTGACTTAAAGAGTTCTAACATTTATAACAAAATAAATAAATGTAATGGTTTGGATGGCTCATGTTTTTTTTTTTTTTTTTCATTTAACAAAACAGATTAATTTTCGATCAGCTGTCCAATAATAATAGAATGGAAGATAGTATGGTGTTTGAGAATATAAACGCATTAAGTAGGCAACTGAATGAGTTGGGAAATAAGCCGGTTAGTAGATAAAAAGTAAAAAAGCAGTTTAATAATTAAGTATTGAATAACTTGGCAATTGTGTGATTAGTTAGATAAGGAAATGCAGGTAAGTAACTAAGATGGTGAATAAATTGGTAAGTATGAAAATAAGTCGGTAAACAAACAGAAAAGAATGACTCAGTAAATAATTGAGTAGTTAAGTAATCCTGTGTTTAAACAGTCTAAGGCAGGGGTCACCAACCTTTCTAAGGCTGAGGGCTACTTCATGGCTACCGAGTCATAGGAAGGGCTACCAATACTGACCTATGAACTGGAGGGATCAGAGTTCATCTACAGTAAATCTCATCCATAAAAACTCATTTTTAATCTTATTTAATTTTTTTTATTCATTTCTAATTTTCTTTTTAATATTGTCATATTGAAACCACTGAAATATGATGAAATTGTTAACATGATTAAATAATACATAAATGATTAAAAAGAAGAGCAACAGAATAAAAAAAATTAAACTTAACCCACTGAGTGAGTTCTTCTGTTTTCAGAAGATGAAGAGGGCACCCCATGTGGTCCTTGAGGGCCCCTTGGTGCCCGCGGGCACCGCGTTGGTGACCCCTGGTCTAAGGTAAATGTTCTGAAATTACTAAGGAGGCCACACAGGAGCTGAGAGTTACAAACATGTCTTGTTGGCCTACATCAGGTGTGTCCAACTTGTTACAGACTTACTCCTACATCAGCTCACCTGATTTACAATAATGGCTTATTTACATGTTTTATCTAAACTGAATCAGGTGTGTTAAAGCAGGGAAACATCAAAACATGTAAGCAAGTACCGACTTTAGAAAGCCAGGATTAGGGCTGGTGGATATGGCCTAAAAATAAAATCTCTGACTTTTTATTTTCAATCGGATTTACGATTTTTTTCAGATTTTCCCCCATAATTATTAAGGAAAAGAAATAAGTAGAAAGGGGGCCCCATGTCTTTGGCTATTCCCAAAGCAATCCTACTCCTTTCCTGTCATGAGGGGAATGGTGGCCTAGTTGTTAGGGCATAGAGCTTGGAATCCTGAGGTTCTGAGTTCGAGCCCCACTCCCACAGACTGCTACTCTGGATCTCCCACTGCTCCCCAAGGGGATGGGTTATATGCAGCGGTAAATATCTCCAGTGTGAGAGCAATAAAGTAAAATTATTTTAATGCATTGGTGGTGAGCATAGCTGCCTTCCAAGCAGTTGACTGGGGTTCGATTCCCGGCGATCGCAAAACATACGTCCAGTGACTGGCTAGCTCAATAATGTAAACCTTGGTATAAATGTGTGGATGAAAAACAACAAATCAGATTCTCGTAAATACAACATAACCATAGCAACTGTGAGTGTTTTAAAATTCTGAGCACGAAATTATACTAAGCTCGACCCCAAGACGTTGGGGCTGTAAGCATGCATGATAATATCCATAAAGAGTTGCACAAACACAGATTTATTCACTTGATTGAAAAAAAATGCTTCTATTTCTGCTCTGCGTCAAAGTGGTAAATGGAATAAAACAGAACAAGAATGGCTGTGTTCTTAGGCAGGATGCTAAATGCCAGCCGCTCTTTGAGTATCTTCCCTAAATTTAACATTCAGCTTCCGCTGAATCCATGAAGGAGAGCTCTGACTGAACAGGACTGCTTCTGGGAAGCCAGACGGACTGCTGTACCATGATGCATGAAGCCATTGTCGCACAGCTCGACCCCTAGGATAAGCGCTTCTTCTCTTGTTCTGCAGTCCCCCTGCACCAGAAGAAAAAAAACAAAAAAAAAAACGTTTAACATGGGGGACAATTAAGACTCTGGACAGAAAGACAAGCAACAAAAAGAAAACCAGACAGAACGAAGAAGTGTTTTTCCTGAGGCAGTTGAAATGTCGCACTTTCCATCCTGCTTTGTTCCTCTACCCAAACACCCTGAGGCCAGCAGAGCGACCCAGCACTCTACCTTTAACACATCTAAAGCTATGTCTAGACAGTGCAATGTGACAGCTCTTGAAGTCCCAAAGCAGAAAGAGGAGGCTTCTCCAATAGCCAAAGTCACACATAACCCCCCCACCCCCGACAGAAACAGAACTTCGACTGAGAGCAGATGAAATCATGCAATATCTGTATTTAATTCGCTTGCGGTTTCCATGTTCATTTCATTTCTTTGTTGCCATCCTTTACAAAACTATCAATCTGTCAGCCTGAGCACTTCCTGTTAGGGTTAATAAAGCTTAGACATACAATCAGGTCTGCGTTTCCTCTGAGCTCCGCTGAGAGCTTCAGATTTCAGGGCTTCTCTTGTCTCTGCAGCCCATTTGAAGTGAGTGACCTGTTATGACAACAGCCACTTCAATATTTCTTTTCTTTTTTTTTTGCTGGCTTTCATTTTTGAGCAAATCTGCTTCCAATCAGAAGAAGCAGGGAAGATGATTGAAAACAACATGCTGGAGATTAGAATTTGGCAGTAAGTATCGGATCATAATGGTAAATCTTTACACATTGAAAACCCAATTCTAGTTTTTAATAAGGTTCTGGTTAGATAAAACACACAACCAGCATATTTCAAACATGTTCGGAGCAAAAATAGAATTGATTAACAATTACATGTACGTGTTTTAAACCTTTTTCCATGCACTGCTTACCTGTGCTATAAGCCAGTCTATGAGCTTGTTTGCCATGACCACTGACTTGTAAGTCCGTAAATGATAGTCCTTATCCCTGCAAAAGAACAAAGGCAAACAATTTTTAATATCAGGATTATATAGAGATTCTCTGGATATTTATTGTTGCCGTTTGCTTTCACTATGACTATCTGAGACAGGGAACGTGCAGAGGAGTAATTGTCTGGTCTATTTAAACACAATGCCAAAAGTTGGACTCATAATTCCTGCTGTCAGCAAGGTGCGGCTTCTTAAGTACTTGCAGTTGTGTCATTTATCTAAGTGGGTTCTTTGGGTTTGTTGACAGCGAAACGACATTCCTCGGTTAGAAGCTGGCATGGTGTTGGTGTTCTCGACTTTATGCACTGGGCTGCACTCTGCCAGACCCCGAGAATGCCTTTTGAAATGCAGCCGTGACTTTCCAATGAATGCTGTGGTGTCCCGGGGGGGGGCAATATGGGGGCCAGATCCACATGGTCGGGGAAAGTCCTGAACTGCTGTGACTTGTGCTAGTACACCACAATCACCCCGACAGACTCACACAGCCACACATAGACACAGGCTTCATTTTCTTGCTGTCCAGACAGCTTCAACAAGGTCTGAGGGCCAAAGTTCAATCCCAATCTCAGCTGGTGCTGTTTAGATGGTAAGGTGGGGGGCGGATGAGGAGAGGTGTCCACCTTCTCACAGTAAATGTTCTGTTATGTCAGTATATCTGCCAGTGTACGCTTGTCTCTAACAAGCAGAGATGGCCGTGCATAATAAGTCATTCTGACCAGAGGAAATGTTTCTGCATTTCTCTTGAACTGGAAATGCTGGGAATTTTAAGCAGATTGAGGGAAATGGGTAGGGGTGGGGGGTTGTATGGTGGGTTCCCAGTGGATAGCCATAGCCGTGTGTTCTGCTCAAGGAAACAACCACTTAAGAAGTATGAGAGGTAAAGGGTAAAAAAAGATGGTTTTAACTTGCCGTCTGGAGATGGGGGAGGTATGCTCTGACAGTCCGCGGTGTGGGGATGTATGTAGCTGTCTTTTTTAAGGCACGCTTTGGAATAAATCATGCTAAGGAAGGTTAAAGCTCAAGCTTTAATCCACTGCTCAGTCCTGATAAATAACTAAAGAACGATATACCCTATCGTTCTTTATAGCTGTGTAAAGCAACACTGCATAACATTTTTATGCAAGTATTACTTCATTTTTTAGATACATTAAATTATTTTTTAGGTCAGTATACAACAATTGTGGGCTGCCCTTCACAAAAGCTCATCTAATTGTAGAGGGTTAGATCCATCACTGAATGAGCCATCTGACCTAGAGCATCTCTTTGTGGCAGTCCGAGCTCCCCTTAAGCACAAGAGCGGCGACCTGATCAGACATTTTTTGGTTCTGTTATGTAGGTTTTCATCCAGATGAAGGAATGTTTCCTTATCTTTACTAGTAACTCCACAACGTCTGCTATTAAATTACAAGACACTGAGGGAGGCTGTTTAATTTCAAGACAGTGCAGCGTTTCCAGTTGTTTTCAAGAGTGCTACACCTGAAAGCTACAGGTCTAGCGCCATGTAGCTAAAAGTTGCAGTTTTGCTTTAACCTCTTGATTTATGAGAAAACTATAGAGGCTCAAACATCCTTTTTCTGTATGTAATGTAAAGATACTTTCTGTTAGACCTTCAATGTATTTGTATTAATTTAACCCCCAATAAATGGTAGACTTAAGACCACTTCCAATCAGCTTCTACTGTCTACACTGTAAAGGTCCAGAGAGGACATTTAAAACTGCTGATAAAATGAGAGGACAAAGGACAAAGCGGTGGGAGCTGTATATTAGGGGGCCACTGACTAGTTTATTCTCTTCCCCGTTTTGACTCGACTCTCTCTTGCTCTGCCAGGAAATTCCACATAATTAAGCAGAGGCTGGATCGTTCAATTAAGCTCTGGCCTTCTCAGGCCCTGATGCATTGTGCTGAGCCTTTAGTGAGAGCACAGTGTGGATCTGGCTAGCGACACAAATACCTCAAATGCCCTGAAGAGAGTTACTATGCCAAGATATCTGGCACGCAAACGTAAGGTTCTTAAATGTTTGGGTCATAAGGAATTGTGAGGGACGCTTCTAGCATGCATGTGGTAAAGAAAGCTTCTCTTCAGGCCCCATTAAAGTACATCATAAACAACAAACTAGGCTGCGGTGGCTGAGCCGAGGTCTTAAAATAAGTCCTTAAGCTGTATTGGGGTTCAATTATTTAATTGGATATGTTTGTTTTTAAACCAAGGTTTAATAATTACAATCTACTTACAATTATTACATTTTTAAAGGGTGTAAATAGGCAATATTATTTTTTATCATTTATACAACCAATTGTGTTTTCACAACATTTCACTAGTAAGGACATTTTTAAGGACAATAATATTTATTACTACTGGACTTTTAGATGAGAAACCCATTGCTGAAATTACCCACAGCTCAGGTGAATTAAAACTGTTCAGTTTGACTGTCAGCTACAGCGTACAGACAACAGAACTTGGCAGAAGAGGAAAAGCCATCTTGGTCAGCATTCAATCTGATGTGAAAAAATTCCCCAAAAGATCTCCTTCATTAAGGGATGTAAAGTACTATATGTAATGCCTTGCAAGGGTATTTATGCCACTGAAAAGTTTCTACACTTTGTCACGTCACAACTACAACTCAGTGCATGACTGTAGAATGGAACATGAGTGAGTCACGGTTGTTAACATTCCTCACATCCTAAAATTGGAAAACTTGATGTGCATTTGAGGTAAGCACTTTTAATGTGTCCACAAGTTTTATGATTGTGTTGTTTGCTGTAACCATTGGTGTGATGTTATAATCTTTTTTATAATTGTTTTTTTATGTTCTGCAGAGCAGAGACCTGACCTGAAACTGCAATTATACTGAGTCATCAAGAAAGATAACAATATGTCATACACTTCATGAGCAAACCTATTGGTTTGCCCCTCAAAATAATTGAATTTGGGCGTACCAGTCATTGGGAACGGCAGCAATCAGCAGTAGGCAACTAATGTATGAGGATACTGCAGGGAAGGCTCACTTTCTGCAGTAAAACACTAGAAGCCTCCAAACTTCAAGTAGCCTTTAAATTAACTAACATGATGTTGAGAATGGCTTTCATGGAATTGGTTTCCATTGGCAGGGAAGCTGCAGAATGCAAAAAGTCTGAGGCTATGGTGAATTAAGTCCAGCTCCACTGGACTTTAAAGCAGTGGAGGCCTGTTCCCTATAGTAACCAATTAAGCATTTCAGTTTAATAATCTCACCTACCTTAAGTTTTTCAACTACGTTCGGTAATGATTATCTTCCTGGATCTTCTCAAGGCTAATTAATTACTATACGAACTTGTATATATTTTCATTCAATTCTAAATTCATAAATCAGTTTCAAGTTTTTTAATAAGAAAGGAGTAAGGTGGAATGAAACTGCTATTAATTTTATAGGAACAGTTTGGATGAGCGATGTAGGACAAAGCCTCTTTGACCTGCTGATGAGTTTACTCAGTGAGTTTCAATCTGTCCTCATTAAGGCCAATTTATGCTTCTGACGCATAGCCTCTGAAACCGTCAAATCTGTCTTCTGCAACCGTCGTCGCACACCTCAAAGATATTCTGACTACGTGTCGGACGGTCGCAAACCCGCAAAGACCTCAAGCGGAAGGAAGTGCGCAGACAGAAAGCAGCTGTGATTGGTCCTTGGTATGCCTTTCCAACTGTCTGTGTGGACGTCCTTCTCAATTCGGTGCCGGAGCGCACCATTTTTAAAAACCAAGGAACAAATGAAATTGACAACTAGGACAAAAGGTTAATTGTTTTTTTTGCCAACTACATTAAGAAAACCGGTTCCTTTTTGATGTCTGGAAGCTCTAGGTCCATCTTCGTGATTGTGGTATCTTGCAGACGCGCCATTGTTGTTTTGGAAAATAAACACTCCCACCAGCGGCGCCAAAGTTCTCGTGACCATCCACCGAAGTTCTCCCAAGTTCTCGAATAGGCTCCCCCTTTCGCTTTGGCAGGAAACTGCTCTGCATCCCTAGAAATTCCAGACTGACTGTGCAGAAGCATACCAGCAAAACTGGTTCATGACCAGACCCAAGCAACATTTAATGTGTGCGGTTGCAGAAGTATAATCTGCCCCTTAGAATGCAATACCATTGACTAAAATTAGCAGCAACATAATTAACAGTTCCCTTTAACATATAAAAGTCTGTGTGTTGACATAACACCCTCTCCCCTCCACTCCTGGTTTTATTCCTTTAATCAAACCCCTTTATGATGAGCTTGCAGTCAAAGATCGATAAAATAACATAAATGGCTTTCTTTGGATGTTTTAACCTGTCAAAACTATTGCTTCCAGTTTCCTGGATCAAGGAGGGCTGGGGCAGATGGCATTATTATAAATATTTTTTGTTTTTCTGAAAGATGTATGGAAGACAGTCAGTAACAAGAAAGTTTTAAGAGGGCAAACAACAAGAGGTAATTCATAAAGAGTAAGTTGTTCTGAGTGCTGTACCCAAGCACATTCAAAGAAAGGTGAGTGAAAGGGAAAAAAAAAAAAAAACGTAGTAGGAAACACCAGCTGCTAAAAGCCTTGAGAGGATCGTCAAGAAAAATCATGGTCTAGAATTTCGGGGGAAACAAGCGACAAGCGACGCCCAAACACAATCCCAGCATTTGAAGGAAGAGTAGAGAGGAACTGAATCCTTGTTGCTTGAAGTCAGGTTTGATGTTTCCTCAGTCCCTGATGATTTGGCTGCCTTTCAACAATGACCATCCAACAGGAAATTTCAGAGCACTTCATGCTCCCTCTGCTAATGAGCTTTATTGAGATGCCAATTTCAGGTTTCTGCAGGATTTTGCTCCTGCCAGCACTGCCACACATACCAAAAGCCAGTTCAGTTGCTATGGGGGTAGATATAGCTAGTAAGCTTATCTGACCTAAATCCAGTAGAGTATCTTTTGGATTTTGTCAAAAGAAAGATGAGAGACACCAGACCCAATAATGCAGATGACCTGAAGGCAGCATTAAAAACCAGCTAGGCTTTATTATACCTCAGCTTAACCACAAATTAAATGTGCCACGCCACTTTAATGTAGTCATTACACAAAAGGAGGCCCCACCATGTATCAAGTGCAAAGAAATTACCAAAAACTCAAGAAGCCATCTACAATATTCTAATTAACTTAGAAATTAATTCTGGGTTACAGTCTGTTTAATTCATATTTCTATAGCACAAGTTCACTTAAAATAAGTTACACATAATATTTACATCCCTGTCGAATCAATCAGATAAAAGGGAAATAAAAGCACTGCCAGGAATATACCTATTTTGTTAGTATCCCTACCAAAAACACATCTTCCCTTTATATTTATTGCTTTTTGAAAAAAAGCGCTTGTACCTGATGACAGGGTTAAAGAGGCTGTGTAGACGGCAGAACAGACGGATACCCTGAGGAAAAAAAAACAAGAAAAAGAAGAAAAAGAAATCAGCGTTTTATTTTATGTCAGAAATGTTTTGATAAAATGTGATTCTGTCTTTCACACTAAGCCTGGACCTTTACCTTTGCTATAACATCCTGCATGTCACTCCTGGGGTGGTAGGTGCCATCATCATATCGGAAACGGTACAGCACAGGCTCCGGCTTGAACTGGTGCTTGTCTGTGACTGAAGAACAAAATTCAGATGAAAAAAAGAAAACAAATCCTGACAAGTGATGTATTAGAGTAAAAAAGTCAAACCCTTAGGTAGTGTTTTTATTTGAACTGTAAGAGGTTTAAAAACACAGTCAAGCTGAGGAGGGCCATGCTTTCCAGACAAAAAGAAGAATCCGACCTCATGGGAAGCTGTCACAGATTTCGCTGCAGCTCACACAGCTCTGTGCCTCACTCACTTTAGGTTCTTTTTATGTGGACCCTCCAGCAGTAATAACACTTGGCTTCGTATTATTGGCTGCAGCCATGCAGGTTCCATTAAAGGCTCTTATGAAAAGATATTCAGAGGCTCGGGGCTGCCGATGGCAAAGAGTCCGATTCCTCTCTGTTAAGAACAGCTATGAAACCCAATTTCATTTCTAAGAGCCAAAGCGATACCCCACCACCGAGAGATTTAGTTAAACTCTGAAAGTAAAGCACACATCATGAACAATTTGCTCTGAATGCAAAACAAAGCCAATTTAGGTCTCATGCTCTTCCAAAGGTTTATGCACACCCATTGTAGACATGGATGGCACACAAATGTGGAGCCTTCTGATTGTTTTACACTTCTATATTCAGGGTGAAATGACTATGGAACAACTTCAATTATCTGAAAATGGAGAATTTGTTGCACAATTCATAGGGATTTCACAGCCCTCACACATGGCCGCACAACAGTGGAGTTGCTTATGTGTTTAATATACATACACATGCAGAGCTACTTTATTAGTTGTTGATCGTAACATTTCTGTGTATAAACTTTTTTTTTTTCAATTTTTTCTGTCTGTTAAATACCAAATCTGCTCTGGAGCGATGTATTGTTGCTGCTTTTACATACATCTGATCTGTTTTGACTTGCTTTTTAAGTCTTCACTTTCTCAAGATTTACTCTTTTGGACTAATTTTTGGTTACTAAGCCATTGGTGTAGCACGAGTTGTTAAAAATATGCTATATTAATTAACCTGATCTTGAGCATTGGAAAAGTATACAGGGGCCACATGCTGCCTGTAGCCATGGGAAAGTGTTTGATTGAACTAAGGGAAGATGTTTGACCTCTTTGCTCAACATAATCAGTAAAGTTTGTTCCAATTGATTGGTTTCCTGGTGAGGAAATCCCATGAGAGGAAATTCCAGTTAATTTCAATACTGAGTTTAAGGTCCTTCCAGAAACTTAATATTAGTCTGCTTTATCAGTTGTAAAACCACTCTAATGCTTGTTTGGTAGCCTTTTCCTGTTGTAACATCCTATTGTGTCTGCATTTTTACCATCCACTTTAGGAGTCACCAACCTTTACAATTCAAGGGCAACATTCACCCTCCCTCCTGCTATAAATATACAGAGAACAACATGAAATTAACTGTATTTTATGTCAGTTGTAGGAATAAGCTTATCTAAACAAAAGGCTCTGTCTTTAAAAACACAAAAACTGGTCAGATGTTATAAAACATGAGACCTATCCGTGGTGAAAGTAAACAACCAAAATATATTTGATATTGTTTTAGAAGCCTTAGAACAAATGAAGACATATCATACGACACAAAATTTGTTACTCTTACTTGTACACATTAGGAACCAATAAACTAAAATAAATTGTAAACAAATACGTTAATCATAAATAAGAAAGAAGAGAAAACACAACCTGTTATGGAAATTTGGTAAAGCTATTGGAAAGAAAACTGATACATCTTAATCTTACAAATATTTCTTGTGCTAATGTTTGGGCCAATTATGAAGAGCCAGGTAGGAGGGTCAGGCACATGCACCTCTTGATGGGTTCCAGATCCCTGGCTTCTATGTTGAGTTGAGGAAAAGTTGAGGATTCTGGATTAAGTTCTCTTTTTTACTATTACATCCAGTGTTTTCAAGTGACCAATAGCTCTAAAGTAAAAGTGGCCCTTCAGCATGATGCTACCACCACAATGTTTGAGCCGGTACCATGTTTGATCATTTGAAAGTCTCTCCTAGACTTCCTGAAAACAAACTTCTTTTCATTATGTCTAACTTTGAGCATTTGTCATTTTGGTCAATAAAAACTCCAGTGAGATCAGGTGTTCCCATAGGACAATACACCATACACTACTTAAAACTGCTTTTTTGGGATGGAAAAGTAATCCAACCCCAGGTTCACACCGACTAATTTCATTTCTGCTTCGGCATATGTCGCCAAGTGAGTCACACAGCAATCCACAATGGATGCAAATAGGATTCTGTTTTTTTTTTCTAGGGACTATTAAGCAGATGATTGGCTGACAGATCTTGCGAAAGCTTTGCATGAGCAGGATGGCATTAGACTGATAGTAAACAGTCTAATTCAGGAAAGACAAATCAATAAATATAAACCGGGCGTATAAAAACTTAACGATAAAACTATAAGCTTAATTTTCTCATTTTTTTCTACTCAAACTGAACAAGGAAACTGTGGAGAGCCTGGAGACCTACATGGATGAGTGTTTTGACCAATTTTTTTATGTGCAAAACAAGAAAATCACGGTTCAACAACGCCACACCGGAAGCCTCAGAAACATCTTAATGCTCTGGTTCTACATCGTCAGCCAGCAGCAGCTCCACTATCTCTCCAGAAGAAAACTATGCAGACATCCTGGACCTCATTGATAAAAAGCTCGCCAGCTTTGATGCCCGCCTTGCCCTGGTTGAAATTCTCCATAAAGAATTGCAGGCTTTGAAAGAATCCCTTGAATCTAGTCAAGCTGAAAATAAAGCGCTAAAGGAGGATGTAAAAAAAAGTCATTGATTGAGTGTTGCAGCTGTCCAGTAAAAACAGGAAGATGAAAGAGAGCATTTGATTTGCAGGGCCGCAGTATTAGAAATAATTTGGTATTTACGGGGATGTGGGCACCAAAGTATGAGCCCCAAGTATGAGCAAATGCCTGTCTCCTGGCCCTTCTTATGCTCCTCGCTAATGAGAGGTGCCTGTTTCTGCTGGAGCACTGATGGTTCTCTAGGTATGGTGCTGGGTACTTCGGTAGGTGCTCTGTCTCATCCCTGGTGGCTCCCTAGCCCTGTGGGGTCCCCACGAGGGGGTAGTGTGGGCCTGGACCTAGTCCACCTTGGGTGACCGGCCACCGGCAGAGCCCTAGGACAGCCTGCCCTGTGGGACCATCTTTGTCTTATTTGAAGATGTAACATGCCTCCTCATTGCTCACCGACTTTATATCTACCAAATCAGTTTTACTCTTCCCATGTAGGACATCCTATTAGGTTCTATGTGGTATTTAGAGTCTTACCTGCTCAATCAAATTTCATAAAAATTAGTTGTTTGATTGAGTCAATTCCAGTTGATTCAATCAACTGTAACACACAATCAAGACTTTAGTACAAAGCTCTATTTACCTGATGAAAACAACCAAGTAAAAAAACAATCTCTTAAAGATTCTGCTAAAAAGGTTTGTCCAATATCAAGCCAGTTTTACCAGAGGCCCTTTTCATGATTTGGATCATACGGTTAAAATTAAGATCTGTATGAAAGTTCATACTAAATATGAGTGTAGTGTAAAGGAACTTAATTCTGAACCTAAATGGTAATTTTTTTATACCATGTGCTCATTGTGAACGATATCAAGCTGTAATAACCATAAATTCTTACCTGGGCAGAAAATTCTTCAACTTCTTCTTCTCAAGTTTTTTTTTTTTTTTTTGTATACTGAGATTTGAAAAATAAATAACCATTAAATCAACAAAATGACCAATGAAGTTCATGTCTGTGGTAAGGTAAATAGAGAAATCAGTGACTGGGTGAAAACATGGGGTACATTTGAGTGAAGAACATTCACCCAACAAGACAAGTGGTCTAAAAAGACCGTTTGTCTGAGAGGCTGACTGTTTAAAACTAAAGGTCAAGTGAAGTTCAGCAGATTTTTGTTGAGTTCTAAGACCACAAGGGATTTTAAAGGAGGAACAAAATGAAGAAAAGAAGGAGCTAACCGTGGTGAATGATGCCGTTCTCCAGCAGAGCTTGACCCAAGTGAACCCCTTCTTCTGGGTTTCCTGTTTCACCAATTTCCATCAGCCAAGAAACAAACTCACTAGGGAAAACAGACAAGAAAACATGGACATAACTAAAACTTGTTTACTTAAAGACCAAACAACAATAACAGACATAAACACAGGAGGGAAAAGGTGGTGAGAGTTATCAGTGGAGAAAAATCTTTCAGAACTGGAGGTATCTCAAAGGAATGCATTCTCTACTTTCCTGGGTCAGAATATGCTGTACATAAAATAAGCTTTTACTTCTTTTGTTTTGTCTACTTTGATGTAATTTATTTGAGGGTTTAACTGGATATCATGATTTTTTGCTGCAAAAAGCAGAAAAAGGGATTTAATGCTCTGATCCAAATGAGCTAAATGGGATACATCACCCTCATTTCATTTTTCAAGTTACTAAAACCAACAGAGAAAGTAAGGAGACAAATTAAAGGAAGCAAATTGAACATAGGGATGTCGTGAATGTGCCATTCCTCTGCCCGAGTATACTCTGCTCTCCCCACAAAAGCCAAACAAACAAAGCCAGGAGCTTCACCACTGGAATTCTCTAGAGGCGACATCCAGACCACGACGGAGCCAATCTGCAGTCAATGTTCAGCCAAAAAGGGAATTTTGCAAAGTTCTTGGAGTGACAAGAACCTAATTTCCCAAATTCTGACATCTTACACTGTTTAAACATTGATCATGAAGGATTTCTATCACCACAACTAACCACAGGAAAAAACACAGTCCTATGAATAGGCTGTAGGAAGAATGTTTTGTGCCACTATTAAGAAATAATTTTGTTTTTGAATTTTCATCACAGTTAAGTCACACGTTTCCAATCATGGAAAAGGCTAATTACTAATCTGGTGCTATATGAAAAGGTAATTACCTCCTAAACCAAGTGACTGGTTGTGCCACCCTTGGCAAAAACAACTGCCATCAGCTGTGAATGCAAACTTCTAGTGAGTCTTTCCGGTCACTGTTAAGGAGAGTTGGCAAATTCTTCTGCAGAATTTTTTTTATTCAGCCAAATTAAAGTTTTCATGCATGAAAAGTCTTTCTAGGTTAATGTAACTAATACCAAATTGGATTCAAATGTGGACATACATTAGACCTTCATTTTGGTTTTCTGGGCCAATAAAGATGTACTCTGCAGAAGTTCCTTGGATTATTGTTCTGCTGCAGAACCCAAGTCTACTTGTGCCAAAGATCACCAACTAATGGACGGGTATCCCCAGCCTGGATTTTCATAGACATAGACTTCCATTATAAATGTGAAAATCTGTAAAAATTATTTAAACGTTTGAAGCTTCACTGAAGCAAACCTGTAAAAGTTAGCAAAAAGCTGAGTTAAACAGTAATAGCAGAAAGATATGGAAACATTTTAAAAGCTGAATGGTGTTTCTAGCTGAAAGTATGCTGAAGTAGTTAAAGGTCAAATATGTTGAAGTTCTTTGTGTCAAGAACTTAATCAAGAAGTCATAAGGGTACGAGCCTCT